AGAAGGCCCGCGCGTTGTCGGCAAACAGAAGATCATGTTGGCGTCCGTATGCTTGTGTTGGGTGAAACGACAAGACCTGCGCGTCGTCGGCAAGATGAAGTACACGCAGTTCTTGGCGCCCGTATGCTTGTGCTGGGTGAGACAAGGAGGCCTGCGCGTGGTCGGCAGTCTGAAGCGCGCGCATTTCTTGGCGTCCGTATGCTTGTGTTGGATGAAACGTGAAGGATTCCGGGTTGTTGGCAGACTGACGCACAGGTACTTCTTGACGCCCCTATACTTGTGTTGGGTGAAACAAGAAGGCCTGCGGGTCGTCGGCAGACAGAAGATGAGGTACTTCGTGGCGCCCGTATGCTTGTGTTGGGTGAAACGAGAAGGCCTGCGCGAAGTTGGGAGACTGACGATCAGTTACTACTTGGCGCCCGTAGACTTGTGGGGTGAGACAAGGAGGCCTGCGCGTGGTCGGCAGTCTGAAGCGCGCGCATTTCTTGGCATCCGTATGCTTTTGTTGGATGAAACGTGAAGGATTCCGGGTGGTCGGCAGACAGAAGATGAGGTACTTCGTGGCGCCCGTATGCTTGTGTTGGGTGAAACAAGAAGGCCTGCGCGTCATCGGCAGACTGACGCACAGGTGTTTTGTGTCAGCGGCCTGAATGTTGTGTCTCGTGGGAAACCTCAGCTGATGATACCACCGTGCAAGCACCGCTTGAAAGCACAGCGAGATTGCAGTATAGTATGAATGCACATCTTGTTGATTTCCCCAATGCGCCCCCGCCTTTTTGTGTTCGACCTGTACAATCGCAGAGATCCGGGAGGTCCATAGCCGTGACCATCTCGTGGTACTAATGGACGCCAACGCACGTACTGGCAGGAGGCGAGACGGATGCTGCGATGCCAAGATTATGGGCGCGTACGGACGCGACATTATGAACAACAACGGGGAACGACTTCTCGGACTGGCAGCAGACAACCGACTCTCCCTGATCAACACCTACTTCCGGACACCGAAAGGAGGAGTGCAGCATACGTTCCAGAGCTCCAACAAGGGGAAGGAGAAGCACCGCCTCGACTTCATCCTCATGCGACAGACGGACCGGCGTCTCGTACGTAATGCCTCCGTCAAACGTGTCGATTTCAAGGACTCTGACCACAACCTGGTGCATACGACTGTCCGCTCCCCCCCCCGTGTCGCACCCAACCGACGAACGCGGGGAAACAGCGGAAGCAGCCGGATCCGTATCGACCTCGAACGGTTGAGGAAGGATGTGCACCTACGGGCCGTCTTCCAAGACAGGGCTCTCAACCGCCCTCCGCCCACGGCCCTCAGCAGGCCAACGGGAGAGACCGCCGCCGAGCTCACCGCTGTGGTGATGTCGGCCGCTGCGGAGATCGCGCCGCTGGCGAGGAGCGCACGAGGGAAGGGAGGATGGTACACGAGCGAAGCGCAGCACGAGATTTCCGAAGCGTCTAGGGAGATAAGAGTGGCCCAACAGCAGCTGCGCGGGGCCTCAAAGAACAGCGACTTAGAGACGACCCTGAAGGCGAAGCTCAAGGCGGCGCGGAAGAAACGCAGCAGCGCGAGGTGGAGAGCACTGGAAAAGTTCTTCGAGGGCTATGTGAGGCAGCTCGAGAAGAAGAGCCGTGAGGGGGACCAGGCGGGTTTCTACAGGCACCTGAAGATGATCGACGTCGAAGGTAAGAGGCCACTTACCTCCCAGAACATCAAGGACGAGGACGGTAAGGTCCTTCGGGACCCCACGCTTACCCGCCAGCGGTGGGCGCGGTGGTTCCACAAGCTCCTTAACACCAAGTCGCCGACCATCGACCTGCATGCGACCGACAGAGTCAAGCAGTGGCCCACGTGCGTTCCGCTCGACGACATCCCGTCTCTATTCGAGGTTGAGGAGGCGGTGCGGGGAATGGCCAACAGGAAGGCCGTCGGGCCGGACGACCTACCGGCTGAGCTGATCAAGCTGTTCCTGGATGGAGACCGAGGCTTCCTCCGCGAATTCCACGCCATCGTCGTGGACGTGTGGCAGACGGGGAACGTACCGCAGCAGTGGAAGGACGCCACCATCAAGGTTCTGTTCAAGAAGGGGGACACGATGGAGTGCGGCAACTACCGGGGCATCTCTCTCGTTGCACACGCCGGCAAGGTGCTGCTTAAGGTCGTTGCAACACGCCTAAGCCACTACTGCGAGCGAGAGGGCATCCTCCCGGAGGAGCAGAGCGGTTTCCGCCCACACCGGTCGACGCTCGACATGCTGTTCGCGATCCAGCGGCTCCATGAGCTCGCGAGGAAGAAGAGTACTGCGGTCTTCGCGTGCTTCGTCGATCTCACCAAGGCGTACGATTCGGTGGACCGAGATCTGCTGTGGGACGTGCTCGGACGCTTTGGCGTGCCCCCGAAGATGCTGGCGGTCATTCGCCACTTCCACGAGGGCATGAGGGCGCGGGTTCGAACGGACGACGGGCAGTACTCGGAATGGTTTGACGTCGGCCAAGGTCTCCGACAGGGGTGCAACCTGGCCCCGCTGCTGTTCAACTTGTTCTCTGCCGCGATGCGCATGGTCGCAGTGACCGAGTTCGACAAGGACCCCAAGGTGACGGCGGATATGATCAAGATCGCAACACGAGTGGAGTGCACGGGCAAGAGGGGCAGGTCGGCGGGGAAGAAGGCGATGATGGTGACGGTCGCAGAGGCCCTGTGGGACATGCTCTACGCTGACGACGCGGCCATCGTCTCGCTCACGCCGGAGAGCCTCGAAAAGATGATGTCCATCATCGTGCGCGTGGCCGGCCTGTTCGGACTGATGGTATCGGAGCCAAAGACGGAGATCATGTGCATGCTACCGAAAGGGCTGGGGGAACGCCCGTTCGCGGTCAGCGCCGCTGGCCAGACGTACAAGCAGACAGATCGGTTTGTGTACCTCGGACGTACCATCTGCGCGGATGGGAAGGTCGACCGGGAGATCACGAGCCGCATCTGCCGAGCATGGAAGTGCTACCGCCGGAACAGCACTTCGATGTACGACAGGAAACGGGCCAACCGCCAGCTCAAGATCCGACTACTCCAGGCTGAAGTGGTGCAGACCCTCCTATACGGGTGCGCCTCGTGGAGCCTGGCAGCGGAGCACTACACCAAGCTGAATGGGACCCACCGCCAGTTCCTGACACGGTGTATCGGCTGGAGCAAGCGGAAGCGCTCAGACCGACCCCTGTCCTACGCCCAGGCCCTCATCCAGGCCGGCTGCGAGGAAACCATCGAGGCCACCGTGCGCAAACGGAGGCTGTGTTTTGCGGGCTTCGTTATGCGCATGGAGGACAACCGCCTCCCCAAGCGCATGCTGCTGGGAGCGATGGCGGGGGGTACCGGATACCGGGGCGGGCAGGAGAGCGACTGGGTGTATCGCCTAGGAGAGGACCTCGTGGCGTTTGGCATGAAAGAGGAGAAGGAGGGGGGGAGATGGAAAGAGAGCGCCAAGGACCAGGAGGCGTGGTACGACAAGATCGAGGACGGGGCGGCATGGTTCATGAGGAAATGGCACAGACAGGAGGCGGAAGCATCCGCGAAGCGCCAGCGCCAGCGCGCGGAGGAAGCAGAGACGGAGAGTACGGCCGCCCCGGGCCTGAAGAGAAAGAGAATCGGGGAAGCGGCGGGGGGGGGGAAGAAACGGCGACCGGACACTGCTGTAGAAGCGAGTAGGGCGGCCAAGGCCGCGCTTGCGGCGAACGACGTACCCAACTGATGATGTTGTCGCACCCTGTGTTCCCTTTTCCCTGCCGTAAGCTGTATGCTCTTAGTATTGCCTCCGGCCTCTCTTTGTGCTTTTCTTCTTTCTTTCTTTCTTGTTCTCCATGCCCTCTCTACGATGATCTTGGACGATACCTCGAGCTCCTTGTTATTTTTGTTTTTTCCTTTGCTGGCTGCCTGCCACCTCTGCTGCCTCTTTGGTGCGGTGCCTACCCTACACTAATGCGCTGGTGCATACTGCACTGCTGTAGTACCTGGTACTGGTGTACGTTGTCCTTCGATTTTTTTTTTTTTTTGTGGGAATATATATGTGTTTGTTTTTCGCCCCCCGTCTTGCTGCACCCCCTGGGGTGTGGTGCAGGGCGGGGGATGCCTGGTCGGCGGGAACCCGGCACGGAACCCTCCGGCGTTGTAGGCGGGTGTGGGAAGCGTTCCCCGTTCTCCTTTTATTTTATTTTGATCGGTCTCCTCGACGCTCTTTCTCGTTTGGTGCGGTAGCTGGTCTTTCTTTCTATCATTTTGTTTCTCTTCCGAGTGGTTTTTGTACCCTATTTGTTTCTGTTTCTTCGTGGGGTCGTGTATGCCGGGTTTTGAGACCACGGGCTCCCAATCTTTTTTTTTTAGAGCTAATGTGAGAAACAACAACAACAACATCAACTGTTTACCGCAGGGGGTGCAGGCGTTGGTGCAGGTTTATTTCTGGCCCTCCTGAGCGAAGCTGGCCGGGGAGTGATCTCCTCCATCCTACGGCAAGGCAGCACGCTGTACCCACCAGCTACACCACCACTGAATGACGGATGCACCAACTATTCCTCCCTGAAGGGTAGTGACAAATGGCTATCGGGATCGATCCTGCTTCTTGTGCCCCGCTGTGTCATCTATGACGCGACAGCACTGGTAATATTGTTGTCTATTGCCTACACGTGAGGGCGCGGGTTATTTTGCAGGATCATGCGATATGCCATGGTTCTCGTAAAAATACTGCTCACCAGTAAACGAATAAAATTTTATGCCCGCGACCCTGCAAAAATACGATAATATCGACGGGTGCGTTATGGTGCGCTACCGTGTAGGGTTGCGGAGATAATGTGGACAACCACCGAGATCCAAACACCTTTTTTTTTTTGTGCACCTTTTCGCGTCCATCTTGCGCAGAAAGATTACGTGAAGTCGCGAGAGCTACAAGCCTTGAAAGACACATGGGGAGGAGAGCAGGCCGTGTTGGCGCAACTGCGGAAGCTGTTGCAAGGGGCGTCTGCTCTGATGTTCGCAGTTCGTTCGCCGTCCTTCGATAAGGCTAAACGCAACACGCTCATGGAGCATGCCCGGGACACGGTGAGGGCCTTCACTGACAATTTTCGTACCGTGTCTGACAGATCGCCGTTGTCTACCCGGCTTTTACCCTAGCCTATCGTCCTTGCTACAATTTATTTACCAGAGAATACCTAGGCTTGACACTTCAGAGTTCTGATTGAATTTATTGTTTCCTTTTTTGCATAGAGGCCTCACACCTCCGCCCCGATTAAGATCTCGTTGATTTGTCACCGCTTGTTGTTCAAGACCTTTTGCTTTGTTTGGTGGAACTTTCGGATATCTCAAAATCTCGAAAAAACATTATATCCCCACGCACTTCTTGGCGTTTTCCTCGCGGCGTCTTTTGTAACCATTGCGCCTCCAAAAATGTGCCCATTTCATGTTTGTTGCCCCCCCCCCCCCCTACCGTGGACTAACCGAGGGCGACGGTAGATCACAAAAATATGTTTTAAACATCGTCCTCCCAGGTCCGGGTGTACGACAAATGAAATATAAACCCAGCGTTTCTGCTGGTACATAGTCCTCGCGCCAGCAACAAGCGCATTTCCCATCATGTCATTCAAGTGCGCATCAGTTTTCATTGCACAATGGCTTTTCCTTTTTTTTTGGGGGGGGGGTGTTGTGGTGCAGGTGGGGGTTTATGCGGAGTTGCTAGGGAGGGTGAGACGTGAGGACAACCGTGCACTCTGCTCTGCACTACGTCCAGGCCATTGAAGACCATGGTGAGTTGAGAGAATATATGAAGAAGTTTCTCTCAGGTTCATGAGTCTGCCCGAGTAAAACAACCCGCCGTATTCTTTTTTATTATTGTATGTGCATTGTTATTTGATGGCCGATCCGTGTGGAACGCCGATCCCCCCCCCCTCTTTGCGTTTCTCCTATGTGATGCGGTGGGGATATGTTTTGTTGCATCCGTAAATATACACAGGCCACATGCCTGATGCCAGCACGGGCGAACCTGCGCACCAAAGGAACAAGAAGGTCAATCATTCTAACAGCGGCCGCAACGCCGCGGCGCACTACGCGCGCCGGCTCAACATGGACCTCGCCATCGATGCTCTTGCTGAAGAAATTCCGGGGGAGGTAACCAGATTCGACCGTAGGTTGAAGAAATATGTAGTGGAGACCGTCAAGGCTGGCTCCGGTTGCTCTGCGGTACTGCGGTCGTTGGGTGATGTTTTGCCGGGGGGGTCGTCTTCCGCCCCGACGGACGCTCGCGCCGCTAATACCCCAACGGCTGCTCAACGTGCTGCTCAGTTCCCCGGCGCCGCAACCTGGACAAGCGTGCTGTGGGAGGCCGGGTCGCCTAGGGGCAACGACGCCGGCGGAGGCGGGTGGGAGTCCCGCATTGCCACGGGCCCTCTTCGTCCCGATGAAAAGACGTTGATCGGGGCGTACAACACATAATTCAGCTGCGGTCGTGCGGATGGGGGTGCGTTATGCGAGCAACCGCGCTGTGCCGACTGCTGGCTGAACTCGTCCACGCTCGACGACAAGGACATCGTTTGCACGCGGTTCAAGCACGGCGCTCCTCTGCGGGCAAGTAGCGGCCTTGGCCGGTGGAAAGGGGACGATGTAAGGGCGTCGACTCGAACGGCACCCAGTGGGGATTGGTGGCTGGGCGAGGGATGTGGAGAGGACGTGGAGTTCTTCAAGGAGCAGCTCTACGACGACGATGTACATGATGGACCCGCTCAGGCGTCGGGCCTTTCGTTGGCGTGCATCCTCTACTTCTTCGAGCACAGAAGGAACACGCGCCAAGGATCCCACGACCGCCCGTTGACATCGTGGGTGCTGGCGTTCGACTAAGTCTCCGACGGTGTTGGGAACCAACGTAGTCCTGACCCCGTCACATTGCACCCGGTCTTGGTCCTGCGAGGTAGACGGCGCCCGGTGGTGTTCCCTTCAGCCGCAATCAGGCGGCATGTGCACATGTACCATCGCTGTCCAGGGCCCGAGCATCCGCCTGCCGATCGTGGATGCATGTGTGGACCTGAACGATGTGGTCGGAGCGGACGCCAAGTGTGGCGACACAAGTTCAGGCTGGCGTCGCCGGGAGACGGGCCGTGCGACCGCTTTCTTTTTAATGAATCCCACCACAGCATCAACCGAGAGTCTTTTGTCTAGAACTTTATCCCAGGTACATACAGATAAATGTTTGACGTTGAACCTGAACTCTTGTAAACATTTAGGCCGTACGGTTGTGTTCGCAAAGCCCAAATGTGTTCTCAACTTTCCCTGCCCTAAAATGATGAGAGACCTACAGTAACAACCTCTCTGTGCTCGACGTTCCGACAGCAGGTACAGCGGTAACTCTGCGGAGAGAGTGTGCGCTTTGCCACTAGAGATCGACATATTCGATGAGGATGTTGGGGTAGACGAAAAAAAAACACGTTGCGGCGAATTGGAAAGAGTTATAGTCATGTGCATGCGCCGGGTACACGCGGACACATGCCGAGAGGCGGTAGAGGTTTCTTGAGCATTTGTGATGGATGGAGTTGATGGAGCGATGGGGCGCCGGGGTGCAGCGTGTGGGATGTGTGCGGGCGCTCGAGGGAGAGGGGGAGAGGGTTGGGCGGGGCTGCGTGGTTTTTTCTGAAATCCTTTCGCCGGCCTACATGGGGTAGCACGGATCAACTGATTTTGGGTGAGCGGCCGAGTGACGTTCTATTTTTTTTGCTGAACGTGATGAAAGTACCCTGCTGTCTCACTTTCTGTATGTAGCTCTCTTGGAAGAGCATGTCATGCGCGAGGGCATTTTTCCGATTTTTTTTCACAAAACAGGTATATAATTCTTCTTGCTGTTGGGCCATTCGTGTCAATACTTCGCGTTTGAGGGGTGCTCACATTTGACCCCACCGCGTGCCCGGTGTGTACTTTGTACGTATCGAAAACAGTTTTTTGGTTTGGCCCATGTTCACATGTAGATTCTGGAAAACGTGGTGTGGCGGGGTGTGTAAATTCTGTTCGGCGATACCACCCTTTTAATAATGTGACGTTAGGGAGTGGCTGGATACTCCCTTGCATGGTATGGTACCTTAAGAAGTCCAAGGACGACCACCTTACATGGCAAACCCCGACCTTTTTAAGGGCGATCCTAGCCCTAGCAAGTCGGAACCCTCTCGTACAGACCATAGGCCAACCGCGTAGGGCCTCGACCCAGGATTAGGCCGGGACAGTCGTGCCTGTCTTGCTGTGCAGGAAGCCAAACCTCCAGAGCTAATCCTGAACACCTTGTAGATTCTCGCGCCCTGTCGCACTGGGCGTAATCGAGCCCTACTGGGCCCTGGCTCAAATTACGGCCGGGACAGCCTACCCTGTATAGGAAGCCAACCTTGTAGGCGTCGCCGTGGACACCTTGTACTTTCTTTCGCCCTGTCGACCTGACCCTAACCTAACCCTACAGGCTCCTGACCCCGTACAAGGACACGAAGACGGTGCCTCTACAACATGACACGCCCCTACAGGGCTGAGCACTCATACCTTATACGATACAGAAACCATGTACAGGGCGCACACAAGGTGTACACAGGGTAAGACGGCCTACAGGCCCCGCCCAGGGTCTCGAAAGTGGGCACATGTGTGGGGCCGTGAGGTGCAGAATGCGCTGGAAACAATTGTTTGTGCTGTGCACGATCGTCAACAGCCGCGAGCGGTTTGTTCATGTTATGGGATTTTATTCCACGGGTTTGTTTATTTTCGTCGGTTTTCCGAAGGAAGAAGAAACAGCAATAGCAAGGCCACTCAGCTGGAGGTAGCTCTCTGCTCCATCTCTCGGGCCAATGTTTTGGTTGCCTTGGGGTATCGTGCGCGTCGGAAAAAAAGTTTTGATTGAGCCAAAACGAACCCCGTCAGAGAGCGTGTGCTTATGGCTTGGTTTTCCATGGATAACTTTTCGAAGGAGGAGGTAACAGCAACAGCAATGCCACGCCGGGGGAGCTAGCTATACGTAGCGTCCTTCTTATACCAGGATTGATGGCTCGGGCTATCGCGAGTGTGGAGAAAAAATGTTGCAACTACCCGCTCCCGCACGCTCCGGCTGTTTTTTTTTTCGCGGTGTGATATAAAACAACGTGGGCCTGCTTCTCCGTCTCATAATAGAGCGCGCACCAAACGTTGCATTGACGAAAGTTCCAGACCAAAAGTTGCGAACAAACATTTACTTCTCTCGCAACTTCCTGCGGCCATAAAAAGCGGATATTCACGAAATTTGTCGCAAAACCATCACGCGTTGTTGTTGTTGTTTCTCGCATTAGCTCTATAATCGATAAAAATGGGGAGCTCGTGGTGTCAAAATCCGGCACATACGACGCCGCGGGGAAACAAAACAAAAATAGGGTACAAATCACTGGGCGGCTGTAGGAAGCGTCCTCCTTTATTTTGTTTTGGTTATACATTGATCGGTTTCCGAGGGCTCTTTCCTCAAACGGTCGGTGCGGTAGCTGTTTTTTTGTTTCTATCATTTTGTTTTGTTTTTCCACGTGGTTTGTACCCCATGTTGGTTTCGTTTCCCCGCCGCGTCGTATGTGCCGGGTTTTGGGACCACGGGCTTCCCATTTTTTGTGGACTTGTTGTTGTTGTCTTCACATAAAAAAACCGTTCCCTTCTCTCTCTACCTAGTACCTTCGTATGTCCGTACTGATACAACACTCGACGCGGTCGATTCCGGTAGTCGCAGGCTAACTTATCCTAAAAAGGTACACTCAAATAAAATGGCCCCGAGGGGTCCGCAAGTCAAAAGAAATTAATGACAGATATTCTGGAGTTCTCCACTCCCTCTGCGCGTTATGCGAGGTAACAACTGAGACTAGGAGTCACCATCACGGGCCGGAGAGAATGAGGTACACCCCGTTGGTTCAATCTTGGTACTTTACAACGCAAGCAGAGACAAATCCATCTGGCACAGAAAAAGAGAGAAAAAGAGAAAAAGAGAAGGAAATTTAAAGAAACAGTAAGCAAGGAGAAAGTGAAGTAAAAAGACCGAGGACAAAAAGGGACCAGGCCGAAAATAACAAGAAATAAGAGACAGAAAAAGGCACACGGTGGAGCGACTACTAACGACAAGCAAACACGCAAACATGGCTACCAACCAGCGATACATTGTAATGGTACGTCATCACTAGTGGGGGGTTTTGGTGCAATGGTGCAGCGTTGGGGGGGGGGAATAGGCTAAAAGAAATTCAATCCGGCACGTATCGCGCCACTCGGTNTGTTGTTGTTGTCTTCACATAAAAAAACCGTTCCCTTCTCTCTCTACCTAGTACCTTCGTATGTCCGTACTGATACAACACTCGACGCGGTCGATTCCGGTAGTCGCAGGCTAACTTATCCTAAAAAGGTACACTCAAATAAAATGGCCCCGAGGGGTCCGCAAGTCAAAAGAAATTAATGACAGATATTCTGGAGTTCTCCACTCCCTCTGCGCGTTATGCGAGGTAACAACTGAGACTAGGAGTCACCATCACGGGCCGGAGAGAATGAGGTACACCCCCTTGGTTCAATCTTGGTACTTCACAACGCAAGCAGAGACAAATCCATCTGGCACAGAAAAAGAGAGAAAAAGAGAAAAAGAGAAGGAAATTTAAAGAAACAGTAAGCAAGGAGAAAGTGAAGTAAAAAGACCGAGGACAAAAAGGGACCAGGCCGAAAATAACAAGAAATAAGAGACAGAAAAAGGCACACGGTGGAGCGACTACTAACGACAAGCAAACACGCAAACATGGCTACCAACCAGCGATACATTGTAATGGTACGTCATCACTAGTGGGGGGTTTTGGTGCAATGGTGCAGCGTTGGGGGGGGGGAATAGGCTAAAAGAAATTCAATCCGGCACGTATCGCGCCACTCGGTCCGTCTCTTTTCGTTTGCTTTCTTCCCTCGCCGCCTCGTCCAACTCCTGCCCCTCCCGCCCCATTGGTAGGTGGCTTTTGGTTTCGTTTGAGCGCCCGTTTTCGGCTGGCCTCTTCTTCCTTCTCGTGCCAGGAGGTCATGAAGCTCGTAGCCCCTGCAGCACCTCCGCATGCCAGGGTACTCCCCCCTCTACCTTCGCGGCTTCCGTCCACTTTAACGTCGGTGCCGTGTCTTTCGGTACCGGGATTCCGAGACAACATGGATCGGTTTTCGTAGATCCGTGGTCGGCCCCGAATGCCTTCAGGTCGTCGAGCACACACTTCGGCCAGTTCTGTTCCTGTTCCCCCCTACGTCGCTTCTCCCCCCCATGCCAGTTCGCCGAACATCAGTCGTATCGGGAGTCGCCTGTCCGGCTGCCTTGCCAATGCTCCCGCGAACAGTAGACGTCGCTGTCGGATCGTGGCTTCAACGCTCTGGCATTCGACCCTCTTCAGCGTCTG